TTAGAGATGCGCACGAGTCAAAATATGCTAAAATTTGGGTTTTTAATTCTTTTTCAAACTTACCACAACTCATTTTTTTCATATCATTTATTAGTCAAATATTATAGATATGGAATGAATCTATATTGTTTGCCACATCAGCGTTCTAGAGATTGATACATACCAATTAATCAACATAGAATGTTTCCATCTTCACTTTTGCCTGTGTTTTCTCTGTTTTTGGGTTTAAAAACTTCTCTCTATTAGAGGGTACCTCTAACTTTTGAGAAGATGTTACTCTTGCGAAGATATAAATACAATGTTAAAGATATGCTTGTAAATATATCATGAATGGTGCATGGTTTCAGATACAAAGGTAGAGATTCCTCCTCCTATATTACCTACCAACTGAGGTGTGGATTCAATTACAGAATATTAAAGTGAATTACTATATTGTAGACACTATTGGTGTTGTTGCAAATACCTTTAGTCCATGTAAATGACAATTTTTTCCAAAATTTTAAGAAAGACCACAAATTAAAATAACTTCAATTTTCTTGAGATGTAGTCTATAGTTTTTGTTTGTCAATGTAGTCTAAATGTTTTTTATACATAAAGTTTATATGTAGCTTCAAAAGGAAAAATGGACAAAGCTGGAAATTGAGAAAGGTACAAGAAGTCAATGGCTTCCTTGTGGAAGTTCTCATGAAAAGTATCAATGACCCATTTCACATGTGACATACTTCCTCCTGAAATGACATAATTTAATTTTCTTACTTTATTAACAAGCCAACATTATTACCTTTTCTATATTTTGTGATCACTTGGTTTGGTTTGATACAGAAGGAACATTAATAGCAATGCAACAATATTGATGCCCCATTTTCTTCGAATACAGAAAGTGTACACAAACGTGTATACGTATTTGCTGCAGGCTTTGATTGGTTACCTCATTTGGAATAGTGAAGTCGTTCAATCGTCCGTTGGTTACTAATTGGACGAAATGTTTAAAACGAACGGTTAAGACGGACAGTTAAAACGGATGGTTTGAAAAAGGGTTTAGATACTCAAACGAGGCATTTGTGAACCGCTCAAAAATAGATGAGTTTGCAACCGTCTTATTTATCAAACGAGCGTTTGGATTTTGAAGAAAAAGTTAAAATATATGTAATTTTGCTATGAAATATTTACAAATCAAACTAAAATTTTAAAATCATTATTTCTATTTTAAATTATATTTTGATATATTTATATAAAAATATTTACTATTTAACCGCTTATAACCAATCATAATAACCGCTTTCTTCAACTCAACCAAACGGTATTTACCAAGTAATTCACTGTTTAAGCAATTTAACATACATGGCCTTAATTCATCATGAGAAATTCAGTCATTCAATAATTATGTACTCTAGTTTCTACCCCCATGCAAAAACACAACTCTTTCACCCTCAAATCATTGAAGAGAACGGAGTGAAAGGTTGAAAATTTATTGCTTAAACATGTTTAGTTGTTCAGTGGATAAATGAATTGATTAGTGGATAAACAACAAACAACTAAACAACTAAACATGTTTAAGCAATAAATTTTCAACCTTTCACTCCGTTCTCTTCAATGATTTGAGGGTGAAAGAGTTGTGTTTTGCATGGGGTAGAAACTATTGCTTAAACATGTTTAGTTGTTCAGAGAGCATTTGTTATTGTTCGTGGTGATTAAAAATCTCTGAAATATTAACAAATATTTTTGTTAAATAAATAATCAATTCATTTTTTTTCTTAATTTATAATGATTAATAAAGTGACTTTAAAAAAAAATAGTATAAATTTGAAATTTGGATATATAATAAAATT